ATAAATATTGGGGAAATGATTAACAGTATCTGCCAAACCAAGATAGTGACTGAGTTGAAACTAGAAGGGAAAAAGCTCATCAGATTGACAGTTAAGAAACAAGGATTGCAGTCGTAATTCACCCTGTTATTCCATGATTAAGCCAAATGTTTGCCCATGCCTCACCTGAACTACCATTATTATCTGCACCTGAATTTTGAGTGATTCTTCCCAACTATCCCTGTGCAGAGGGAGTAAGATATATCAAGAGCCAAGAGTTTCATCCTAATCGTTTAGTTAAACCCTGTTCTTTATTGGACAGTGTGACCCTTTGAGGAGTCATTAGCTCTAAGTCTGTGAAGACCAGGGCACAGCTGTGAACTCTGGGCTGATGTTAGCCCAAACCCCAGCACAGTTCCTAGTCAAAAACAGGATTCTACTCCACGGCACATGACAAAATTCTCCACCTGCAGTGAATTTAAAAAAGAAAAAAAAGTCCCATTTTGATGCCATCACCAGCATTTTCTTGCAGACGTTCCAATGGATGATAGGGTTAGAGGGATAGAGAGCAGCTTTATTTATCAGAAATCTAAGCTGGTATGGAAATGAAAATAATTACCTTTCTTTTAGTGTAAAGCAAGCCTCCTCTCTTCATTGTAGCCTTAATTTTGAAAGGAAAGGAAGTTAATTTTAATTAACAAAAGTTAATGCTACTAATTAAACATTCGTTCTATTTTCACATGCACACACAAATCTGCCTAAAGATATAACTAGCTCTGCTGAGGGTATAACAAAAGCTTTGTTTTGCTACATGGAGAGTACAAATGATCACAGGAATTAAACTCAAATTGGCCAAGATACTTAGCCCATATTCTTGAATAAATCCGATTTGTTTCTAAGTATTACACAATCCAGGAATAAAGGACTTTATTTTTATTAATAAAATTTTGTGGAATCTTTCTTTAAATTTATAACACCTATAAAAATTAGACAACGATTTTAATAATTTTTAAATCTTTTTTTCTAAGTTTATTCTTCTAGATTATCTCATTTTAATCTCCCAGCAATTCTAAAGAGAAAGTGATTTTTTTTTCTTATTAATGAGATGAGCTCTGGAGAGATTTATATGTACGGCTCTTATTAACGCATTGGTAACGATGATAGCTTAAGCTCTGTCTCAACATCCCCTACTATAGAACAGGTACAATGATTACTTATGCTGCCAAACATGAGTCAGAAAACAAAAAGATTGCAGAGCTGTAGGGGCTTATAAATATCTGTCTAGAAGGAGACATTCATTTGCCTTACAGTATCCATATACCAAGAGAAAGAGGGGCATTCTGCCTCACTTGCTCACGTTGGCTGAGATTTCTGATTGTAAGGAACATTTAGAACATTAAAAACATATATCAACAATCTAATAAAATAGATCAGATCATATGTAAATGAATAGTTTGTATTTGTATGTCCATGTATAATTAATATAAATACATATACATGCAAGAGAGATACTATTGAATTCAGTCTACATGATAATTAATGTCAAATCAGAGATGGCCTATGGATTAAGTTCCACTTGAAACAAATAAATATCTATTCCTATTTATTAGGAATATAACACTGTTCCAATCACATTAGATGAAATAGATTTCTAATTTAATTCATTTTAGATTACTTCAGAGGGAGAAGAAGGAAAGTAATTTCGCAAACACTAAGGAGCCTTGGAATTATTCAGCTAAAAGAATCCCTTAAGACATAAGACCATTAAATGGCTCCGGAAAAACTTATTTCCTATATGAATATTCCTATAATTTGCCCATTCAAACTAACTGGCATTAATCTGAAAATACCTCTGAAATGAGTGTTCTTTTTTAAGAATTATGATAGAAGTTTGGGGCTTTGGTGTCATAATTCTTATATTGTTTTGTTTTTTGGGGTTTTTACTGCAGGTGCAGATTGGAGGTGGGGAGAGTGGGAGAGCTGGTTTTGTTTTACCTTCCATGATATCTTCCATTAATATTAATTTCTCAGGACAAAGTATCATTTTACCTCCTTGTTGCTATTAAGTTCAATACCATAAAATCCACTATTATCTGTGTTCGTGCTTATCCAAAAACATTGTTTTGGTAGGTAAACAGTCTGCTTCTCCTTCCTTTCAACAAGGATAGCTAAGAAGGCTGAGATGTTATAAGACCAGAGCATACTTGTAAAATATTGGTGCAGCAGAACTTTTCTTGATATCATCATGAGGTATCCAATCGATGGACCTGAAATATTTCTCTTTCATTTACAAATTTGTTCTACCTTGTTTCCTCCTATTTAGCTTCTTAGTGCCAGTAGAATTTGTATAGTATCCAGAAATGTGAAAATAAGTCACCTATTTGGGGTTTGTTGTATGGTTCTTACCCTGTAACTATTCCTGGGGAAGATGCTGGATTTGCTGTGTACATGTGTGCACACATGTGTGTGTGCCAATAAAACTATGAACGCTATTTTAAAAAATGTTTAAATAGCTTTACTGAGACAGAATTCACATACCACTAATTCACAATGATTTGTAATATGCACAACTCAATGGGTTTTAGCATATTACAGATATTTGTAAATATCACCAATTTTAGAACATTTTCATCACCTGAAAAAGAAACTCCTAATCCTAGTACTTTGGGAGGCCAAGGTGAGTAGATCACTTGAGGTCAAGAGTTCAAGACAAGCCTGGGCAACACGGCAAAACCCTGTCTCTACTACAAATACAAAAATTAGCTGGATGTAGTGGCACATGCCTGTAGGCCCAGCTACTGGGGAGGCTGAGGCAGGAGAATCCTTTGAACCCAGGAGATGGGGGCTGCAGTGAGCTGAGATCATGCCACTGCACTCCAGTCTATGCAACAGAGTGAGACTTCATCTCATAAGAAAAACAAAAACCTAACACACAAAAAGTACCAAAATTAGCTGGGTATGGTGGTGTGCACCTCTAATCCCAGCTACACAGGAGACTGGGGTGGGAGAATCACTTGAACCTGGGAGGCAGAGGTTGCGGTGAGTGGAGATCGCATTGCTGCACTCCAACCTGCAGAACAGGGCAAGACTCTGTCTCAAAAAAAGAAAAAAAAAAAAAAAGAAAGAAAGAAACTCCACACTCTTTAGATCTCACTCCCTATCCACCCATACTCTCTCCAGCCCTAAATGATCACTAATGTATTTCTGTCTGTACAGATTTCTGTATTCTGGCCTTTCATATTAATGGAATATTTGTGACTGGCTTCTTTCACTCAGCCTGTTTCGTTTTATCTAAGTTGTAGCATATATCAGTACTTCATTCCTTTGAACGGCTGAAAAATACCCCATTACATGAATATACTACATTTTGTTTATTCATTTGTCCACAGCAGGACAGTTAGTTCTGACCTTTTGACTATTCTGAAATATGCTACCATAGACATTTGTGTATGTTTTTATGTAGACATAGGTTTTTATTTTTCTTGGCTATAAACCTAGGAGTGGAATTTTTGGGTCATATGGTAACTCTATGTTTAATCATTTAAAACACTTTCAGACTGTTTTCCAAGGTGGTTGTACCATTTTACATTCCCACCAGCAGTTTCCACCACCAATTTCTCTACACCTGGCCTGGGTTTACCTTTGAACAATATTGCTTTGCCTAGGATGGCGGAATAGAATGACAGAAGGGCAACAGCCCAATGATACAGTGGAGACCATTCCAGCCCTAGATGGCCTACCTTCCAACTTAAGTGAGAGAAAATAAACCCGTTTTATTTAATCCACTGCTATTCCAAGTGTGAGCAGCTTAACACAAACCCAATTCATGTAGTCCTATTAGCATATCTTGAATCTGGGAAGGTCTTGAAAAAATTATTGAATATGGAAAGATTTTTTTCATGGAAAGGCTTCTTTGTCATCCTGTTGTACACTGAAAAATGCACTTTCTTTCTCTCCTAATTTCTCATCCCATCAGTCAGTAGCCATTCTCCTTACAGATTGTTTCAGGTTCTCCCTAGCACCGCATTGATGTTCTGCAAGATGGAAATAACAACTTGTTATTCAGAAACAAATGCAAGTGTTATCGATGGAGCCATTTTTTCTAAGGAGAAGGAAAAGGTGGCCAGGAGCAGTGTCTCAAGCCTGTAATCCCAGCACTTTGTGAGGCCGAGGCGGGCAGATCACGAGGTCAGGAGATCGAGACCATCCTGGCCAACATGGTGAAACCCTGTCTCTAAAAAGGAAAAGCACTCTTTGTGGTGATGGAGAATGAGCAAGAGTTGTTTGTTATTTGCTTTCTCAAATATTATCCTAAGTGTTAGGACAGTAATTAGAATGATGAAAAGTCATTTAAGGTTTTCTCCTAAACTCTCTGGGAGCCCAGAGAATTTCAGTGTCATGTTGACTAGACAATGCTTGTATCATGCATTTGTTCTCTTTTAGACATTGCTTTTGAAGCCACTTTTAGCCTCTGTAACACGTTAGGCTCCCAGTCAGTTTTCACCTTAGAATTCAGAAAGGTAAAGGGAAAACTGTGTAATTAATTGCAGCTCAGCTCTCCCTTTATTTCCCATCTGATTTTTGTTCCAATCATCTGTATTTTGAGGGGATACTCAACACACACACAACCTGCCATTCAACTGGCTGTCTTGTAACTTATTTAAATATCTTCCCTCAAAGCCAGTGATTGACCAATGGGGCTTCTGATAAGTTATTTAACTGGAAATCACTACTGACAGAAAGGAGAACGTTATAGAGTCAGAAAAAGTCTTTTTCGTGTCATTTAGTCCTTTCTCAATGCTTCTATTAACTGATGATACACTCAGTCAACATTTATTGAGCCCCAATGATGTTCATTACGGCACTTCATTCTGTTAAAGAACAATAATCTCTTTATCCTTTTAACTCCTGATAATAGATTTTTAACACACAAGTTTACAGTTCTTGGAATCGATGTATCTTAAAATATCTTAATAATCTCTTTTGTAAGGAAGCCTTCCTCATTTTCAAGGCTTTGGGTTTTTTGTTTTGTTTCTTCTTACATACAGCAAAGTCATTTGGCTTGCGCTGTTAACAGGTTAGTTTGAATGTTTCTTATAAAAGCCAAATATATAGAAGCAATGCTTTTCTCTCTAAAAGTTTCTCCTGAATCTTAGCTTTTCAACAATTTGCTATTTCGTAGACCATATTCATGATTTGTTTACTCATACACACTTATTAAGGAGCTGTTTACTCAGCTCCAAAATTTGTGTTAGACTAGGACAGGCTCAAATCTGCAACAAACAGAATCCCCAAAGAGTAACTTTAAAGGTTATGTAAATTTCTGGAGCTATACTATATTACTATCTTTCTATTAAAATGTCAACATCTATACTTTTTCTCCATCCATTCTGGCAAGACACCATGCTATCTTGAGATTAAGCTAAGTCTCCTGGTTCAGATTCAAATCCCTGCTCAATTATCTCTTTGTGGCACTCTGGGCAGTGTCTTCATCTGTAAAATCGGGATAATGATTTTACCTACTGTATTGGGTTGCTGCAAGAATAAACGTAAAGCACACAGAATGTGCCCGGCACATAGCTAGCACTCCATCCATGTTAGCGCAGGATTTCAGATTTGTCAGCATCATTACTCAGTAGCAATCATTCTGCCCTTTTAAATTGTTTCAGCGACGACTGAATGAACTTATTTATAAACATACAACACAACCAGGGATGGAGTGATTGTACACTGAGGTCTCATTTCCACATAGATAGCATTAGGAAGCAACTATGCCAACACTTTTTCTTCCTGTGATCTGTACACTGCAGGGTCTCTAGAAACAATGGTTTGGTTCTTTCCTGGTGACAAAGGATAAGAGAAGATAAAACTGCTATAAATGGCAATAACTTAAACATAAAAGATACAGAAACATATGGGAATGAAAAATATATGCCTATACATACACAGCTGTTTTTAAAATATGGCCTTTATTCTTTAAGCTCAAACTTGATTTCCAGGTACAGCAGGCCTCTAACTTTTCTTGGCAAAGTCATGAAGCCTCCTGTCCTCTAAAGCCACAAAAATTTAACCTAGAGGCAAGCAGCAGGCACTAGGCACAGCACGGAGGGAACCCTGGGGTGTACGCCTTGACTCCCACCTGTCAGCCAGGTCATTGTGACGCAAACGCTATGGCCACGTGGAACACCTGCCGGGGAGCAGGGGCGGGGTCACTCTGGGCGGTGGATCCGAGCGGGGGATACCCCAGGAGATGGGGGTCGAGGAGAGACGCCTGGGAGTGGAGAGAGAGAGAGACTCACTCCCCCAGTCCCCGACCCGCCCCAAGCAAGGTGAGGCCAACCCCACCCACCTCCCTGTGGTCCTCCTTGGAGGGGTCGCCCAGGCGGGCGTCTGGGGGAGGGGAGAAGCGGGGAAGGGAGGCAGCGGCGGAGCCCAGGCGACGGTCGGTAGCCGGGTGGCGAGGGCGCCCGCTCCCCCGGGCCGCTGCGCTGCGCTGCGGCGCGCACAGGCACCGCCGGCTGCTATTCCGGCTGCTGGCGGCCGCCGCAGGAAGGGCCGGCTCCTGCGCTCCCCCGCCCCTTTCCCTCGCCTTCGGCTGACGCTGACGTCGGATGAGGGATCCGGAGGGACGCTCCGACCGCGGCCGGGAGGCTCCCGGGGGCCGGGGCTCCGAGGTACCTGCCCTCCGGGGTCGGGGCGGGGGCGCGCAGAGCGGGCTGCAGGCGGCCGCGGGAGACGCCAGGCAGCCGGGACGGCCGGGGACGCCTGGTAGGAGCTGCCTCCTCTGCCCTCTGCGGGCGGCGCGTGATAGGCGGGTTGCCTCCTCGGGTCCCGGATCCCGGTGCGGGAACCGCAGCAGCCCCTTCCCCTCCCCCGCCTCCTCCCGCCGGCCTGGGAAGGTCTGGAGGATGCGCGCGCCATGAGGGCGTGCGTCAGCCCCGGGGGAGCGGGAGGGACGCGTTCCGCGCTCCAGCCGCAGCGCTGGGAGCACTGGCACCCACGCCAGCCACCCCACCCACCCACCCCGCGCCTCGACTTCCCCGTGGCTCCGGCCTCAGGACCCTGAGCTCCCTGGTGGGCAGGGACTCGCGGCCAGGGTTGACTTGTTGACAAGTTCACCTGCCGCGGCGCCTGGTGTGTGCTTTTTCTCTTCCCCCGTGGCCCGTTTTTGGCAGGGGCGGCAGAGAGCTTATGGGTACCTCTTTATAACCATTAGTGTCAGGAGGCCTGAGCTTGGTCCCCCGCGGGCGAGGTGCGCACCAGTCTCGGACTAGACGGGGCGAGAGCCCCTAAGCAAACCCCGTTCTAGCAAACCCGGGCGCGCCTGTTTCCTTTGGGTGCTGCTGACTCCGCCTTTCCTGCTCCGGGGCTATTGCAGCTCCTGCTTCCTCTAGAAACGAACATATCCTGTTGTTATGTCTGCCTTTCCCCCAAAGCGGCTCTCCATGAACCTTTCCCGCGGTCTTTTTACTTGTAGTGCTCCAAAGCCCCTCAGCTTCTCTTTGGGGTCTTAAAAGTATCGCGCCTTTATGCTGGCGAAGGGCATTAGCTGCCTGGTTTGGGAGAGTTAGTTTGGAAAGCATAGCATTCTCTTCTTTTAGATGGCATTAAAAAATCAGCACAAGAAAGGGTTTTGTTCATGAATCTTGGTGGCAGCCTTAGTAACAGAGACCTAGTAACTGTATAAAAATTATCAAGGCCTAGAAAATATGCATCAGCTGGTTTGGGAGTGATACTGAATGTAGGAAGAAAGGCACATAAGGCATTCATTGGCCATTAAGGTCCTATAAATTATGACTCATCGCAAACATGTTTTTGCCCATACATTTCAGTGAAGTCTCTTAAGAAAATCTCAAATTGGTTTCTGTGGCCCTCTGGTTTGAATCTGAGATTTGAACTGTTGCAGGGAGGCGGGGGGAGTGAAACAAGAAATGCTTAGTTTGAAATCTAGCTCCCGATGCAATTCCTTACCCCCTATTTAAAATAAACACACACTCTCTAAAAATGCTTTTAAGAAAGTTTTGAAACCAAAGATATCTTTTTAGATTTCAATCTTTATTTTTGAAACACCGTGTGTAGAGAATACCACAGGGACAAAATTTGTAATCATTAATGGCTCGAATATCACTCTTTGATTTTATACTATTACTGTATATATATTTTAATTGCAAGAGATGTTGCTTTCTAATTGTTTCTGTTTGTATTACAAAGGGAAATAATTGTACTGATTATAAAGATGAATCTTTAGAAAACATAACAGTTAAACTACAGAGGGCTACTCGTGGAGAGACCTGATGTTAAAAAGCCTAACCCTGTATTCTTCACCCATGGGTCATTGAATGCTAAAGACACTGGATAGTAATTGCGTGGGTGGTTTATTTTGTAACTATTTTCCCCCATTTGGAACACCTGAATAACTATCTCACTGCTTTCTCTACGCATAGCCGGGCATCTCTCCACATCAACCTTATGAAAAGTATAGAAAATTTTGTTACTCGGAGCCTTCAAAAATCCCTACATTTTCAAGGCATTTGACTAGATAGTACATTTTTTCAGGTGCAAGCAGCATTATCAGCAGTATGGAAGTGTGGCAACTATGCCATGTCATAGGAGGATAAACCTGTGTTTGGGATGAACTTTTAAGATTACAGAAACCGCGCACAGGAGAGGGGGAGGAAGTTGACAGGCCACAGGGACAGGAAGAGTGTTTCCTCTTAGTTGGTTGAGCCTGACAGCTAGAAGCCTGAGGGAAGGTGGCAGTGTTTATAATCAGCACGCTGGTCACTAGTGTCCTTTTTTTGCATCTGCATTATCAGATTTATGGGAACCATTAATGAGGATGCTATCTGCATGTTTTTGTCCATGAGGCAACACAGATCACTAATGAACCTTATATCCTAATCTCACCACCATTCACAATCTGCCTCAGCAGAGCTTTAAACTCAAAAACGGATAGAGGAGAAACACTTTTTCCTCACTTTGTTCTTGATTCCCAAGCTGATACATTTCGTATTACTATCATTTCTAGCACTCTGAGAGAGTACTGAGGACACATGGGCTTTGTATCCTGATGGAGCGAGATCAGAATCCCTGTGGTAACACCTAACTAGCCATGTGACCTTGACCAAGTTACTTAAGTCACCATATCCTTATCTACAGAACAAGAATATATACCTTGTTGGGGGCAGGGTGGGGATTAGGGATAATGTATATAAAATGCTTTGTTCACTTTTATTTATTTTCTTTTTTGTTTTTTATTCCTATACATATTCTGCTTATGTATGTGAGCTTTTAAATAGGACTCACGCAGTAGTAATATTCTTTCACATGCTAAACATGTGTTACCTGTATCTAAAAAGAATGCTGCTGCTTTACCTGTGATACAAAGTGTGTTTCAATTTGGTTTGACTAGTTCAACTAATTTTGTACCAGTACTAAGACCCTGGGCTTTATGGAAGATACTCTCCGAAGTTGGCCGGGGGAGGGGGGTGCAATCAGAAACAAAGCTAATTTGTTCCAGTGGGGATAGATCTTCCAAGCCCCTGCCACTCAAACATGGTCTATGGACCAGTAGCATGTGGCCTCCCCTGGGAGGCTATTAGAAATGCAAAATCTTAGCTTGCCTGCTCCTTTCTTCCAGACCCACTGAATTCAAATCTGTATTTTAACAAGATCCCCATGTGTATGTTAACATTTGAGAAGCACTGCTGTAACCTGTTATTTCAGTGTCCCAGAGAATCATTTGGGGGCTTGTTATGATAAATGTGGATTCCCAGTCAAGCTTCCCTCATCGGCTGTTAAACAGCATCTCAGGTAGCTCTGATGCCTAGGGTCTTCCACTGCTATCAAACTGTCCCCCACCATGCTCTAAAATGAGTCTCTATCCTCTTCCTTCATAAAGAACTTTGGCAGCTATGATCTTATGTGATATTCAGCCCCCTTTGAAGTAAATAGATATTATAATCTTCATCTGTCTGATAAGGACTGCAGGCATGATTTGCCCTGGATAGATGAGTATGTTAGAACTGCCTTGGAGCCTCTATAAATACTAGGTTACCACACTTGTGCTATTCTAGCAATTTACTATTTAGTATTCTAGCATCAAATTAACATAGTTTTTGGTTTTTTGGCCTGTAACTAATTTTCGCAAATAACTAATGAATCTCTCCAGGCCAGGGAAGACTACATGTGATAGGGCACTTTATACCTGTTTTTTATAACAAAGCCTGCCTTCTGTGTGACTGTAGGCCAGTTACTTAAGATAATTGATCTTAAACTTCTTCATGAAATGAATATAAATTATTATGTCCACTTGGCAGTATTGTGAGGATATTCAATGATATGGGTGAAGCATAGACTCCAGCGTCTGAGAAGTGGCCATTGCTCAATTAGTGGTAACTACCTGTCTCCTTGTAAACCTAGTGAGATAGAATGAGTTCATGAAAAGCTGGGGAAATGATACTCTGCATCACTCATGATGGGAATCATCTGTCTCTCTTGCTAAGTCAGATGACATCATCCATCAGGCCTTTGACCAAATCAGAGAAGTGGGATGACTTGGTATTTAACAAGCATTGGTTGTATATGTGCCATGTGTTATGCGCTGTGTTAAATGCTCAGAATCCTAAGGCTCAGACCCTACCATGCTCTGAAGGAGCCTACAGCTGAGCAAGAGAGAAAGAGGAGTCAACTGGCAATTGTGACAGTTGCCTTTCAGGGAAAGCAGGGAGGAGATAGAAGCACAGGTGGTAATGAAGCCCAGGGCAGGGGCATCCCACCCAGAAAGGAGAGAGGGCAGAGAAAACCTGAGATGCTTCATGCAGGAGATTGCCCTTGAGTTGAGCCTTAAACAACCAATAGGAATTCGGCGGGTAAATAAGGCTTGGGAGTGGGGAGAAAGAGCATTCCCCACTCCCAGCCATGTGTATCTGTGTATATAAAAGTCAACAAGTAAAGGAGAGCAAATAGTCCTCATGTTTGGAGCCCAATGTGTATGTGTGTCCCTTACTAGCTGAGTGGTCTTGGACAAATTTGATCATCTGTGATTCAGGATGATTAGATGCACTAATCAGTGTAAGCATAGGACTGATTCCAATTATTTGTTGAATGATTGTGGAGGTGGTGGAGGTATCAGCAGAAAATAGGGGACTATTATTAAAAAGTCACTAGAATTAGAGAACATTGCAGAGTTCAATTTTAGAATGCATTTAGTAGAAAATACATGAATTAAGAGAGTGATTGAAAAAGGCAACTGAACGTATTATAGTTCTGTGGAGCGGAAAACATGAGGTATATGTGTTCAGTGATGGACCACTGAAGATTTAGAAGT